TTATATTACTTAACTATAAGAAAAAATAATTTTTTATCTGTTTCTTTTTAGGAACTGGTAGGGTAGAGCCAGTACCATTGGCTGTTAAGGCAGGTCAGATACTTTGTTGTTTTACAAAATGAAGAAACATGATAGTTGGTTGATATGTAATCAGTATTGTTGCAGTGATGCTGGCACATTTTTGCTATACTATTACAGGCAACTGCTGCAAATATGGCATGGGTGTAGCAACCATATAACCACATATGGATGTATGTACTTCCAGAAGTACAGAAAAAATTTATTTGATATATATTTGCTGGCAAAAAGCATCTTTAGTAATGAAATTGACTGGTTTAACAGACTCTAGTTTCTTCTATTAAACCTAGTACCTCTTAAGCCTGGGCCAAATGGACTTGCAAGCAGTCGCAAGTTGAACTTGCATAGAGACTTGCGTTTGTGGCCAAATGGACTCACAAGTTTCCTTGCAAGTACGTACAAGTCGCCAAAAAATATTTCAAGGCAGACGTATCCTGTATTTCATCAGCTAATAATAGGTTAATGGACGTCTCTCAAATTGCGTTGACTTGGGTTGGATGGCCAAACGGTGAAAAACTTACATCAATTTACATGCAAATTTGATCTAGACCAAAGTGAGCGCAAGTCATCCGAAGTCAATGCAAGTGCACACAAGGCCTGGCCAAACAGAGTTGCAAGTAGACCCAAGTTTTCAACTTGCGTCTACTTGTGAGTCCGTTTGGCCAGGGCTTTATGGCCAGTATCCAACCCTGTTTTTCTTCAGGGGGCAGGTATGACATTGGCTAGGTTTGCACACTCGACATGTCTGAAAATTTTAGTTTTCATGCTTCAAAATGTTCTTCAAAAATTTGGGTGTTGGAGACTCCTAACTATTGAAGTTTCCAATGACCATCCACNAGTATTGTTGCAGTGATGCTGGCACATTTTTGCTATACTATTACAGGCAACTGCTGCAAATATGGCATGGGTGTAGCAACCATATAACCACATATGGATGTATGTACTTCCAGAAGTACACAAAAAATTTATTTGATATATATTTGCCGGCAAAAAGCATCTTTAGTAATGAAATTGACTGGTTTAATAGACTCTAGTTTCTTCTATTAAATGTAGTACCTCTTAAGCCTGGGCCAAATGGACTTGCAAGTAGTTGCAAGTTGAACTTGCATACAGACTTGCATTTGTGGCCAAATGGACTCACAAGTTTTCTTGCAAGTACGTACAGGTCGCCAAAAAATATTTCAAGGCAGATGTATCCTGTATTTCATTGGCTAATAATAGGTTAATGGATGTCTCTCAAATTGCGTTGACTTGGGTTGGATGGCCAAACGGTGAAAAACTTGCATCAATTTGCATGCAAATTTGATCTAGACCAAAGTGAGCGCAAGTCATCCGAAGTCAATGCAAGTGCACACAAGGCCTGGCCAAACAGAGTTGCAAGTAGACCCAAGTTTTCAACTTGCGTCTACTTGTGAGTCCGTTTGGCCAGGGCTTTATGGCCAGTATCCAACCCTGTTTTTCTTCAGGGGGCAGGTATGACATTGGCTAGGTTTGCACACTCGACATGTCTGAAAATTTTAGTTTTCATGCTTCAAAATGTTCTTCAAAAATTTGGGTGTTGGAGACTCCTAACTATTGAAGTTTCCAATGACCATCCAC